TCCCTCCCAGCATGCAGGCTCCCCATGCATGGTGCATGCTAGATGCTGGCAATGTCAAGGAGAGCAGGACAGAATGGAGCTCACAGAGGCCAAGGTGCCCATCCATCTACATTCCCCTTCATACATTATTTCCATTTGTGGATTCAAGTTTATAATTCACCTGCATTCAGTTCTAGGAACCTGGATAAAAAGCCAACCTAGTTTTCTTTGTTTTGTTTTGTCTTAATTCTTTTAATGATTTCAAGCATCAAAGATTTTCCCAAGTAAAAAGACATGAAGCAAAAAGGTGGTCTGGGCCCAGAAGGATACATGCACGAGACGCACGTGGCGGGAGGCGCAGGCCTGCGCGCTGTGAGGCAGCCCACCTTGGCCCCTGAGCTGCGGGCCTGCTTGCTGCCATGGAGACGGGCTTCTCGGAACCCGAGTCTGTGGTTCCTAGACCAGCACTAGACGAGGAGCTGGGATGGGTGAACCAAAACGCCAGACCTTCTCTGTCTGGGTCCAGGGGCCTCCCGGGACTGGATTTAGATTCGTGGCCTATGAGCGATGCTTCCTCCTCAGGCTTCCAGCAGCCCTGCCAGGCCAATCGCAGAAACTGCCTCTGGTTTGTTGCTACCATTGCTGCTAAAAACCCTGCACAGCATCCAGACTCCAGCCCCCCCCCTTCTTACCAAGGAAATTATTAATTATCTGGTTCTATGAGAGAGACAGGGAGGGAGAGAGAGGGAGAGGGAGAGAGAGAGAGGCAGTGACAGAATGAATGAGGGCTGGGCTTTGGTTGAAAAATCTGGAAACAGACCGGAGTCAGTGGGGCTTCAGCATGAAAAGAAAGCTGACCTCCCGGCCCAGAGCGGGGCTCCAGTCCCAGTGGGCTGCTGAGTAACTGCAGCCCTGTCTCCTCAAGCCCCTCCCAGCTTCCTGAGGCCTGGTTTTGGAGGCTCTCCTGCAACCCTCTTGCACCCCAGGCCGACTCTCGCTCCCTTTCCCACCAAGGGCACCACCTCCCTCCTGCCTCAGAGGGGACTTCCAAGAATTTCAAGCTGACCTGGTGAAGGTCCAGACCAGCTGCCCTCCCCGCCCCCTGCCCCCGGCTCATGAGGACGGCACACATGGGCCTCTTTGGTTAAATCTCTGATGGGCTGTTGCCAGGAAACCCAACCAGGAGGTAGAATGATCGCAAATGCCAGTCAGCGGGGAAGTGAGCAAAACCGGGTGCATGTCACACGTCTGGTGATGGCCACCCCCACGTGGCACTGGCTGGAGTGTGACTGGGGGACTCGGGATGGGACGCTAGGCTAAGCTCTCCCTGTTTCTGCCCCGCTTGGAGAATAGTCTGAGGGGCAGGCCCTGGAACAGGTCAGTCACCTGCCTGGATGGCTAGTGGCCTAACTGACTCAGCTCCCTCCTCCACATCTCTCTTCCATCTGTGAAGGGGGATGGCGGTGCAGGGGGCTAACAGATGATCCCCAAGATGACCCCCTCCAGGCTGGAGCCTTCTGGACTCTACCTTAGGTCATGAAGGGCCGTCAGAGGGACACAAGTTGTGCGTGGGGGACCCCTCAGCCAGGGTCAGCACGAGTGAGGACACACGTTCGTCAGATGCCACAGGATACCTGAGAAGGCGGAATGAGACGGAAATCCGACCTGGGGCTTTGTGCCGGCACAAATAATTAATGAGGAGGGCAGAGCCAAGCTGAGGGAGGGAAGGGCCAGGAGCCTGCGGCCTTGGACTCGGGCTTGCCAGCGGGTGGCGCTGTAGGACAAGGAGCTGGGGAACCCTGGAGGGGAGGCGCTTCAGACCCAGGCGGGGAGCACCCAGAGGCTGGGATCTGCAGGCGAGGATGGAGGGTGCTGCCCCAGGACACCCGTCACAGCCCCGGCGAGGCTCACGGCCCGCTGTGTGCCTGCTGGGGCGGGAGTGGTGATCGCTATACAAAAGAGATTTCCCACAGCTTTTCCTGCCCAAGTCCACGCTTTCCCCTTGGCCCCGGTCCTTGGAAAAGCAAGCCTGGAGGGGCCACTCGCCCGTGGGCACCTCCCTTGTTGCCATGGCAAAGCGTGCCCCACCCTTCGGTGGACAGAGCCTAATTTCAGGTCCTTCAGGAAATCCTGTGTCCTAGTGTGCCCCCTTCCCATACAGGGTTTCAGAGCAAACAAGTGTGTTGAGTTAAAAGCATCTTGACCTTCATGCAGCTGGGCACAGAGGAGGTTGGTCCTCTGAACGGCCCGCTCTCGCCCCTCCGTCACTCACAGGGTCTGGCTGCCCCTTTGCAGTGCGATTTGTTGATAAGAAAATAATAATTCACGTGTATCTATGACCCTGGGCTGGTCATGCTATACACATTCTTTAATGTAGGCATTATCTAGTTTAGTTTGAGCAGATGTCTGGTGCCGGGGTCCTGTCTCTCTCATAGATGAGGCCCAGAGAGGTTAGGACACTCGCTGAAGGTCACACAGAAATTCCAGGGTAGAGCTGGGCTTTGTGCTCTTCACCTGTGGAATGGCTGCCGGCTCAGCTGCCAGGCGCCCTGGGTGCTCCCTGCTGGAACACGGGGCTCCCTGCTCCCTGGGGGTCAGAAGGCTTCAGGTGGCTTTAGCCAAGATGAGTGAGGGCTTGTTTCCCTCTGGCTTGTGTGGTGGGAGGAGGGTTTCAGGCCCTTGGGATGGGGGGGATCTAGGAAGGCCCTGGCTGAGCCAGATTCCGAGGGGAGCGGATCGTGTGGCATCGTGAGGGAACCCGATGCGCTGCACCTGTGCCGCTGAGGGGCGGGCTGCCCGGGAAACTCACTCGGATCTCTCAGGGCCCGTCTCCATCGGTCTCCCTGCCAGGCCCGGCCTGTCGGGCGAGTCACAGCGGACCTTCCTGCGGTGGGCCCTCCCACAGAGACCACTGTGCACTTCCTGCAGGCCCGGCCCTGGGCCCTGGGCCCTGGGTCTGAGATTCCTGACCCTGTGCAACTCCCCTTCCGGAGAACACAGGCCTAAACAAGGGATCCTTGTGCAGACAATGAAACAGGTGGGCGTGAATTTAACTGGAGGCCGACTCTGGGGAGGCCTCTTGCGGAGGGGGCTTGACTTTGAGCTAAGATAGGAACAGAGAAGAAGGGCAGGCAGGTGACAAGCTGTGGCCCAGGTGTCCCAGGCAGAGGGAAAAGCAATCCGAAAACCTAAGGCAGGACTGAGCGACTGTCGCCTGTGGACGGTGGGGACAGAGGCGGGAGATAGAGCCAGAGGGATGGCCCCACTGTCTCACCTGGGGTCCCAGCCTGGTCAGGAGTGGGGGTCTTGCTTCAGGATGGAGGGAAGCCACCAGAGTGCGGAGGGGCTGCTCCGTGGAGGTGGGTTGTGAGGGGGAAGCCAGGCGAAGGTTAAGGGCCCTACTGCAATTCCCCAGGGAGAAGATGGGGCCGGAGAGAAGGGATGGACCAGGCTGTTCTTGGAAGCGATGTTGCTGGCTCGCTGCTGGATCAGACATCAGAGGTGAGGGAAACATCTGGCTTCAGCAGCTGGGTCAACCTGATCTCGTTTATGAGATGGGAAAACGGAGGGAAAAGTGAGTTTGGTGGGAAAATCAACTGTCTGTCTTGGCTCTGCTGGTTTGAGATGAGTACCCGGCGCAAGTGGCGACGTCGGGTGGGCTTGTAGCTGGGGAGGAGTCCTCAGACTGGAGATGGGGTGTTGAAACTCGGGGACGAGCTCGACTCCGTGTGGGGGCTGCCAGGTGTTGGGGGGAGGGCGTGATGGGCCTGAGGAGCCTGAGATTGGTTCCCGCACCAGGTATAACTTTGCTGGTTTTCAGATAAGGTCACGGAAGGATGACAAGCAGCATTTTAATTGAAAATAGATCAGGATGTCATTGGAGGGGAGAAGCCAGATAACATGTTGAGGGAGCGAGGGAAGAGCTGCCCAGGGTTTGGCTGGGAATTTCCTGGGCCCCTGCGCTCCCAGCCCGCGCTCGCCCGAAGGCTCTCCCCCCGAGGGTTGACCTGCCAAGGTCAGTGTTGGTGGAGGAGCCCGTGGTGGCCTGACGGCCAGGGCGGCCAGGGGACCGCAGGCCCCAGCGCCACTGCTGCCGTGGTGAGACTCAGGCCTCCCGAAAAGAATGATTGAAACTCATGTTTGGAATATAAACGAGGGCTCTCAGAGGATGTCACTGTCACGATTCTGCAGGAAACACACGGGCTGTTCCTGATGCTTCCTGGGCAGAGCCTCAGATTCCTTGGCCCCAGAATCTAAAGTCTGCCTGGTAATCTGAGTTTATCTCACGGGGTGAGAGCTTGAGAGGAGAGGGCAGGCAGCCTGCCAGAGGAGGGGGCATCCCTGGGGAGAGGGGCGCTGGGCGAAGGAAAGCTAGTGTTGGCTAATCTAAAAAGGGGACTCAGCAAAAATAACTAACGTAAAGCCCGAATCTGAGGGCCTTGCAGGAGCAGAACCCACGTAAAAATAGGAGAGTGTCTTATGTGAGTTGGGGCAAGAAAGGTGAGGCCTTCTGGAACTTTCTACTGTGTCAAGGAGGCTTTAGGGGTGGGTGTAGTTGCCCATCCGCAGAGTCCCCTGGCGCACGGCACACTCTTCCCTGTGGGCTTTGAAAGCTCGCTGGCGGTCAGCCTCGGTGGGGAAGGTGTCCAGATGGGGGGCCACCTGTGGATGGAGGGGAGAGCAGGTTAGTGGGCGTGGGTGCTCTTGGGGGCTCGCCCGGTGCTCCCCTCCCCGATTCCCTCGCTTGCCTGCCCCGAACTCCATCTTAGAGTCATAATAAAATTGCTGAGAGGGACAGAAGTGAGCTGGGAGTGCCCTCGCCCCGGGCGGTGACAGGCTATGGGACAGAAGGCTGCCGGGCAGGGCTGCCCGGGGCCCGCGTGGCAGTGTTTTCCCATCGGGCCTGCTCATTGTGGGGTAAGCGAATATCACATGGTGATGGCTGGGGTCACCGTGCAGGGGGACCTCACAGCCAGCGTCACCCTTCACATGCCGCTTTTCCACCATTAAAACCCCCAACAGCCCTGGCCAGTTTGGCTCAGTGGTTAGAGTGTCAGCTGCGGACTGAAGGGTCCTGGGTTCGATTCTAGCCAAGGACACGAACCTCGGTTGCAGGCTCGATCCCTGGCCCTGGTCAGGACACATGCAGGAGGCAACCAATCAATGTCTCTCCCTCACATCGATGTTTCTCTCTCTCTCTCCCCCTCCTACTCTCTCTGGAAAGCAATGGAAAAAATATTCTCAGGTGAGAATTAAAAAAAACCCCAAAACCAAATAAAACAACAAACCATAAGCAGCCCGCTGCCAGGGGACCTCGGGGCGCTTCCCTCAGGCTCCTCCACAGGCTTGGGGGACGCGCGGGGCTGGGGGACAGCGTGGTGCTGGCCCTGGGGCCCATCAGAGTCGGGGTTCACCGGGTGGCCGAGGTGGAGGGCTGCGGGTGAGTGGGCCCACCGGGCTGCAGGCAGCTTTGGTGGGCATTAGGTGACAGGCGAGAGAACGGACCAGGGAGAGGGTGAAGTGCGGAAAGGAAGTGGAGGGGAGACCCGGAGGCGCTCACGGGGAGAGCCTCTGTGCTCGGTCCCGGAACCTGGCCCCACCGCGAGCACAGAGGCCTGGCCCCCTCGCCCCTCGGGGAACGCCATGGCCCTTAACCAGAGCCCGAGGCCCCACCGTGGCTTCCCGAAGGCAGAGATCTGGGTAGTGTCTCCCCCGAGGCCCTGGGCAGAGCCTTGGTTTCCTTGAAGCCCGCATCCGCTGCCTTGCTCGGGACACTGTCACCCCCGCCCCCTAACCGAGGTCTGGGCCGCTGCTTAGGGTCAATGAGACGCACACCTCAGGTCCTGACCGCAGGTCCAGGGGGCTGTGCTCAGCGTCAGGGGGAGCAGGGAGGTCAGGGTGCACGAGGGCCTGAGGAATCCAACTTGACCATCCCCCATTTACACACGGGGAAACTGAGGCCCAGAGAGGGTTTGGTCTAGGGTTGGCCCCACAAGGAATCCGTGGCAGACAAACTGTATTAGCACCATGGCCCAACCTCGGGGCACTAAATTCTGGATTCTTTCTGGAATATTCTGCTTCAGCTGCTTCTCCTGCTGAGGCTTGTCAGTTAGTTATTCCAGGACGTAAACCCACGGTCTTCATCTCTGGGGAGTGTGACCCTTTCAGGACTCGACAGAAAGCCATGGACTCTCTCCTCTGGGAAAAAGACCCGCAAGCCCTAGTGTAGGAAACAGCGCAGGCTGACGCGGGAGGTCCGTGGGCCTTTTGTCCCCTCCCGGGCCCTCGGTGGCGGTGTTTCCGGGAGCATCGGGGCCCCAGCCGCAGGTTTCCGACTTCTCGGCGGCGGGCAGGATCATGCAGGGCCCTCGCCAGTCACCTAATGCCCACCGGGCCCAGGGCTCAATACCTGGAGTTCAGCTCATTTGATCCTATTCTCAGCTTAATCTCCGGTTTCAGAAAAATTCCCAAGTGGCCTCAAAAATGTTATTGAAAAGAGAGGAAAATAGCCAGAAAACAAAGGGCTTCTCAGGTACACCTTTGTGTCCCCTCTGGCAAGGGATGGCTTGATTTCGACACCATGACATGATTTCCCAGAAGGCAGCTAGAGATGCTCAGTAAGGCTGGCATGTCAGGTCTCGGGGGGCCTTGCGGGCACCCCCCTGCTTCAAATGCCTGGCCCGCTGGGACTCCCAGGTCTCCAGGGCCTTCTGTAGCATTCAGAGCAACAGTTCTGTCCCTGGTGGGGCGTGTAGTCCGAGGTCCACGCGTCCGCCATCTCCACACACACCGGCCCTGCGAATGTGACCTTATTTGGAAAAGGGGCCTTTGAAGATGTAATTAAGGATGTAGAGATGAGAACGTTCTGACTATTCAGAGGGGCACCCTGACAGGCGTCCTTGTAAGAGGCAGAAGATGCAGATGCAGGAGGGAGGCCACGTGAAGACGGAGGCAGGGACTGGAGCCGTGTGGCCACAGCCCAGGAGCCACCAGGGGCAGAACACGGGAGTCCACGGAGAGGGGCTTCAGCCCTCAGAAGGCCGAGCAGCAGGGTGCCCCTCGGCGGGTTGTCCGGGAGGCCACCCCTGGGATCCCACCTGCTCCCATCAACAACAACGTCATAACCACAGACCCAGGATTCGCCATGTATGTCACACAAGCCTCAGAGCATCCAGGTGGTGTCCCCATTTTACAGATGAGGAAACGGAGGCCCCCAAAAGGCGGAGCCGCTTGCCCTAGGTTGCACAGGCTGAACCCCGAGTGGTGGGACTCTAGGCCGCATCCTCGAGCCTGAACGCCACTGTCTCACGATAAAAGCTTATGAGAGGACTCTCGAGAAAGTCACTGCCGGGAACGGGTGGCTCCCAGCCCGCACGCTCCGCTCTCTCCTCCTAAAATAGCAGCTCAGCCAGAGACAAGGATCCTGATTACAAGTCAGGCCTCAAGCTGTGTGTGGTCACGACCCTGTGGACCCCCGGAGTCAAAGGATGAGAGCTGTGGAGCACGGAATTCCTTCGGAGAGGCTTCTAAATTAAGCCATCTGCAGTCTGTCTCCGCCTGGAGCTAAGAAATTGTAACGGCTTTGGCAGGAGACAGCTCTGCTGAGTGGAGCTGAGCTGCTCCCTCTAAGGTCAACGCAGGTAAATAAGAGGCGAGTGCCAGGGCTGCCAGC